AACAAAATGATGACATTTTTTGTCACGCCCATGAATAAGAATAGGCCTCTTGATGTAAACTAATCTCAATTTTTCACGACATTGTGTCATTGTATTAAAGTGACTATTTTGCTTTGAGAGAACTTTTGACAGTGTGGGCCGGTGCAGCGGCCGATAACGTGGCCCGGCGTTTTAAACTGTTGACTGTGAGTGTGCCCGGGGGAAATCAGTCGAGACGGAATCCAGGGCAGACCACCGCAGCGGCGCGCGGCGTGAAGCATGAAGTATGGAGCGTGGCCAAGGAACCGTGGAGGCAAGGCGGTGTTCGACAAATGGCCTTTTCTGTTTGCCACGTCTTTCCCCCTCCCTCCCCGAGGGCCCCGCCCGGCCCCTCCGCGCTCGTTTCACTTCACTCTCATTTTGACTTGCCTCCATGTTGCGGCGCGTCATGTTGGCGATGAGTCACTCGGCGCGCGGATTTTGAAGCGCCTCCAAAAATGGCGCCAAGTCGGGAACAAGTTCGGCGCAGCTGCGCACAGTGGGCCAGAAGACCGGTGGAGGCGGCCGAAAGTCAGGACGCGTTTTGAGCTCCAGAGTCGCTAAATGGGACTCGAACCAAACGTGTGACACCCCACCAATGGATTCCTCGTTTGCAGAGCAATCCATTGGTGGGGTCACACGTTCGATTCGATCCCCATTTAGCGACTCTGGAGCTCAAAACGCGTCCGGAATTTCGACCACCTCCATCGGTCTTCCGGCCTACTGTCCGAAAACAAAAATCCGTTTTCCCTGTTCCCGAAACCATCAAGGACGACCGACGCAAGGGGGCAGAAAAAAATATCGAAATTGAAATTAAGTGTGCTTAGCGTGCGTCCCGGTCCGCTTTGTTTGTCGGGGCCTAATGGATGCCTAGGGACGGAGGCGGGACGGAGGCGGGACGCTCGCAAGTATGTCTACACGCTTTAAGACGCGGAATCGCTTTAACGGGCCGAGGCTCTGGGTTGTTGCGCACGACGGCCTGCCCTGGGGAACCACGGCCCCTTACGTCTTGTTCCGACTCTCATTTTCCGCGCCGAAACAATGCAAAAAAAATGCCGAGCGGCGCGAACAATGCAGCTGTATAAATATCCACTTGTATTCCTCCCTTTGTGCCCAGCAACAACAACAACAGCAACAACCACGAAAAAATGGAGTCGCCGGGCGACTTTATGGGCTGTTTAGCCCCGCGCTGAGGTCCAGAATGGTCCGTCGGACCGGGCCGCTCGCTGCGACACTTGGTAACGAGTGCTTCACAGGCTGGCGGGGAGGGGGGGGGGGGCTCTCGAGGGGGATGGGTCCTGAGGGACGCCCGCCAAACGGGTAGTCCAGAAGGTCGTCCTCTGGAACCCCCAGAGAGCCAGCCTCGGCCAGCCACGGCCAGCCAGCCGCACGGTGGCCCTCGGCGTGGCCTGGCCGGGGTGGGGGGTGGGGGTGGGGGTGGGGGGCGACTCATCGGGGGTCATCCACGCCGACATCAAATTTAATGGTGGAGGCGGCGGCGGGCGAAAAGCCACTAGCCGACCGGCCGGGCCGAGCGCAGCCCGGCGCAGCCCAGCGCCAACGGCCGGCAGTGGCTGTCTCAAATAATGAGCAATCCACACCGCGCCGTCATCCTAGTTATTGTTGCCCTTTGTTTTTCTTGCTGGGACGCCCTTTGTTCTTGGAGCGATGGATTAACGGTGGGCGGGGGGGGGCGGGGGGGGGGCGTTGACGCGAGGTGATCCAGCCGACTTGGCCCGGCCAGCACGGCGCGGTACCGAAATGATTCCGTCGCTTGAAAAGCCATCACGGTCTTTTTATCTTTGCCGCCACCTGCCCCGCCCCGCCCCTGATTCTAACACCGCTCTCCGGTCCGACGCCAAAGCCTTGCCTCTCGCTCGCCTGCTCGGCCCAGAACGCCGCGGCTCTGTTTGGAACCAGCACAATGCAAATATTTCCACGGCCCGTCGGAATAGCAAAGTGCTTATTGCTGCCGCGGTGCATGGCCGGCCGGCTGGAGAAAGAAATTTTGAGGTGTGGGGCGGGGCGGGGCGGGGCGGGGCGGGGCGGGGCGGGGCGGGGCGGGGCGGGGCGGGGCGGGGCGGGGCGGGGCGGGGCGGGGCGCGCCCTCGAGCGTATGCTCGGCGTGGAAGCGGCTAGCCTCGCGGCGGGGCCCCGCCAGGACTGCCATGACTGCCAAGCAGACGGATTTCGAACAGTGATTCCGTCGCCGCTGCCGTCCTCGCACTCGCGGGGCGTTCCGAGGCGCGAGAGAGGCAGAGCGACGAGACACTGCAAAATCACTCTGCAGGCAGCGTGCTGCCAGCGCGTGCAGCCTATCCCGAGAGTGCGAGACTCCGAGACCCGTCCGCAATGTTCCCGTTTTTGCACTTAGATATTCTCTCCGTTTACCGCGTTGTCGTGTCTGTTTGCTTGTCTCTATTTTTTTATTTTCAATTCTTCTCGGCACTGCCGCGTCGACCCGCGCTTCTCGGCCCTCAACTTGAATGTGACGGTGATTGCCGATGAATAAACCTATCAAGCCACGTAATCAGCGTGGAGGGGGGGGGGGCTTCTGCCGCGGCGTTCAATCGCGCGTGCAAGTGCCACTCGGTGTGCCAAGCACCCTAAAGGGCAGTAGGCCACCACACACATCGTCTTCTTCTTCCTCCTCCTCCTCTTCTTCTTCTTCTTCTTCTTCTTCTTCTTCTTCTTCTTATTCTTCTTCTTCTCCTTCTGAGCATCTCCTCGCCCTCCCCTGCCCCCACTCGACGCTCGTTGTTAGGTCTTAAATACAGAACGCGCCGCGATCGCCCCTTATTGGCCATAGGGGCGTGCTTCCCTCCTCCCCCTTCTCTCTCTCTCTCTCTCTCTCTCTCTCTCTCTCTCTCTCTCTCTCTCCAGGCGCCCTTCGGCGACGACGTCATCAGCCTCCTCGGAGGCCTAAATAAGCCCACGCGTCCTCTCCCCCCCCCTTTTCCCCCTCCCTCGATACAGGCTGTAAAACTTTATGAATGCTGGCATGTCGTGCTGCCCCCCCCCTTCCGGTCCCTCCATGGCTTGACACTCCTCTTCCCCTTCCGGTAACCTCATTGGTTGGTACTTGCGGCCCGCACCCCATCGGACCCCGTGACCGTGGCGGCCCTGGTGGTCCTGACCTCTGGCGCCTCTGGCAGGCTGATGGGGTTCGGAAATTGGAATAGGACGTGCGAGGCACTGCGAGGCGGGTCCTACCTGAGGCACCCGATTCGCGAGCTGATTCGCCACATTATTCGGGCCCGATCCCCGATTGGCCCGTCGGGTACCGAGGGCCATCAGCTGTGATGTTCGGGACAGACTTCGAGTCCGCGCCGCCGGCCAAGACGATTCGAGTCCATTTCTGAGGTTTACCACTGCTCGAATCGAACTTGTGACCCCACCAATGGATTCCTCGTTCGGAGAGCAATCCATTGGTAAGGTCACACGTTCGGCTCGAGTCCTGTTTAGCGACTCTGGAGCTCAAACCGCGTCTCGCATTTCGGCCGCCACCGCCGGTCTTCTGGCCCACTGTGCGTCGGGTTTCGCCGAGGAGCTCGCCGTCGAGCACGTGGTTCGGGAAGGCGGTCGTGCCCGGAAACTAGTTCCCCGCTGGAGGGGGATAAAAATGGATCCTCTGCCGGCGGTCGGCGCGCTGGCGGCGTGGTGGCGCGCGGTGGCGGCGGCGGTCTAAGTCTAAACAAAGTCCCTGGGGCGGGCCGGCGGCGGGCCGGGCGCTTTAAAAGTTTTCTCGAACGCTGACAAGTAGGCCGGGCAGCGCTCGCGCCGCTGCGGCGCCCGCCTCGCTCTTCGCTCGCGGCAGCTGGCCGTCGTCTCACTTCGGTAATTATTGAGGGACGGCTTGGCCGCGCTCGGCGGCGCAGCGCGCGCGGCGTCACAGGCCGACAACAAAGACTTGGCTCCGACTGAGGGGCTGCAAACAAGGCACGCCGTGCGCTCACTCCGTTCGACTCGGCACGCCGTCGCACCGGTTGCGCTCTCTGACTGCTCCAGGTGAGCTGGGCTGGGTCGGATCGGAGGGAGAGCTTTGGTGGGCGCCCCCGAGCCGCGCTTTGGACACCCTTTGACCGCGTTCGAGCCACCCTTGGGCCTCGTTTGAGCAGTGCTTTGGCCGCGCCCGGGCCGCGCTCTGCGCATCTGGGTCATATCTTCCTTAGCCTCCTCGTAAACAGTGATGGCCGGAATATTAAAGCGAAGGCCGCTGCAGCGGCACTGGCCTCGTCATGGCGGCGCGGCCGGGCCTGGCCGGGCCTGGCCGGGCCGAGGCCCAAAGGGTCCAAGTTCCGCAGCATCTTTGGAGGCAAGAAGGGCGAGCGAGGCCGTGCCGCGGGGTCATCACGGCGCTAACGATACAACGGCCGAGAGGGCTGCGGAGTGGGTCAGAAGACCGGCGCAGGCGGACAAAACTCGATACGCGTCTTGAGCTTCAGAGTCGCTAAACGGGGCTCGACCCGAGCGTGTGACCCCATCAATGGATGGGGTCGAACGGGGAATCCATTGGTGGGGTCACGCGCTCGGGTCCAGTTCCGTTTAGCGACTCTGGAGCTCAAAACGCGTCCGGGGTTTCGACTGCCTCCACCGGGCTGTCGCGTTTGGCTCGCAGCCTCTCGAACGCACCGCGCGCCTGCGTGATTAGACGCTACGCTGTAAAATACCTGGGGGCCCGTGTCCCCGGCCGGCGCCTCCGCCAACGGCAAGGTCGCCCGCTCCCGGGAGGGATGCTTTTGAGTGTGGGTCGGGGGGGGGGGGGGGGGGGGCAGAGGCACGGGGCAGAAATCGGGTGCGCGGGACAAAGGCGGTGCGCGGGCCCCGCTCGGGGCGGCTTGCCCTGGGCTTGCCGTCGGCTTGCTTGGAGCCCAGCCCGCGCTGCCAAGGGGTTGTAATCTCTGCTCCAATTTCTGCAGCAATGTCTCCCGGCCGAACCGACGGTTTTCTCTCGCTCAACAGGGCCTTGTTGTTGTCGGCAGGTGTCGTGGGTGCGCCACCGGGACATCCACCTGCTGACGGTGGGCCGCTACACGTACACGTCGGACCAGCGCTTCGAGGCCGTGCACTCGCCCCACACCGAGGACTGGACCCTGAGGATCCGGTACCCGCAGCGGAAGGACTCGGGGCTGTACGAGTGCCAGATCTCCACCACGCCGCCCATGGGCCACCCGCTGTACCTCACCGTCGTCGGTAAGTCCTCCGTCGCTTCAGCTCACGTCAGTGCTGCCGCATAAGCACGCAAAAACCCGCAAGATATGGCAGTGTCTCTCACTCAGCCTGTCAAATGGCGCTACTGCAAGCGCCTGCGTAGGCCAGGGTAGGCAACCCGCTCCTCAGCCCAGCGTGGCGGGCTGGCCTACCCTGAGCTTCACAGGCGCCGTGGAGGGAAGGGAGGGATTATCGCCTCTCATCTTTCTCTCTCTCTCTCTCTCTCTCTCCCTGCTTTGTACTTTCCACTCGCTGCTCCGATGCCAGTGCGCTCCGGTCACATTAGTCCTCCTTTTTCATCCTTCGAACTGCTCCCTTTCGAGCGGCAAGGGTCGAAAAAAGGCGGAAAAATAAAGAGATCAAGAGAGAGCGCTCATGTGTTCTCTCTCTCTCTCTCTCTCTCCGCGCTCACCGCCTGGCTCACTGCAGTGCTAGTTTGTTGCACGCAGCCACGTGGATTTTCTTGAATGCGTGAGAGAGCACCCTGCCCCGCTATGCGCACGGCGAGCGAACTCCGCATGGCAGATGGCGACCGCTCCCTGCGAATAGCGAGCCCCGCCGTTTGACTGCAAATAGTGTTTTGCGTCTGTCCTCTTCCCCGCGGCCTGTCCATTAGGAGCGGCAGAGACGGATACAGCCATTTGCCATTTTGCCGGCAGCGCGTAGCAGCGCGTAGCAGCGCGTCCCCGGCGGACCGCCGCGCCGCGCCGTGCCGTGCCGCGCCGTGCCGTACCCGGATTCACGAGGCCAGGCCGGCCGAGGCCAGGACACACATAAATCCGGTTCGACCTGGATCCGCCATTTCGGCCGCGGGCAAACAGTGTACTGCAATCAGTGGATTGCAGCGCGGTGCGTGACGTCACGTGACACGTCGCTGCAGCCAGGCTGCAGCCGGACCTGTCGTCGCTATCTCTCTCTCTCTCTCTCTGGGCCGCTACAGTGGAGCGCACCGCTACCTCCAAACCTTGACCCAGACCGCGCCGCATGCCTACACAAAGGCCTTGATAATGATTTCCATTCATCCACGCCGCGCACTAAGTTTTATTACTGACCTCTTTCCCTTTTTTTGCTTTCTCTCTTTTTTTCGGGCTGCCCGCCGCTGCCGGTCCCGGGGGCCACCCTTTCGCTGGCACGGCATTCCGCGGGGAGGTCCGACGGCCGCCCCGCCCTCCCTCAGCAATTTGGTGCACGAATTTTTCAAATTTCTGCAGCAATTTTTTTTTTGTTTTCTTTTTTTGGTGTTCTTTTTTTTTTTTTTATAACTCTGCGGTCGTGGACCGCGCGGCTCCAAACGCTATGCTGCTTGACCAGGCACGCCAGACATGCAGGGAAGGGGTGGAGGTGGTGGCGGGTACGCGGAGCAGAAAGAGAATGCTACCTTTGAGGACCGCCGCCGCGGTGTCGTGGCGTGTCCTCGCCAGACACTGGCGTCCTGTTGAACTGTTTGCGCAGAGACAACGCGTCATCGTCGTGCTGCCGCGCTGCCAGCACACTGATTCCCAGAGTCGCTCTGTCTCTCTCGCACTCACGGGGCGTCCCCTATCGGTGCGAGAGAGACGGAACGATGAAAACGACTGCGCATTCGGATTCGAAGGCGGCCGTGCCATTCGCGCTGCAGGAATGCGGGAGATAGGAATGCATAGCGGTATGGCATGCAGCGAGCGGCCACTTTGAAGGCTCGGTTTTCCTGTTTTTTCGAGCACTGTTAAAAACGTTTTGCGACCAATTTCAAACGGAAAATGAATCATTTTATGTTTTTAACCATTTTTTTAAGGAAACCTTTTGTTTTTGTGCGCCTGAGCAGTGCACCGTTGCCTGGTCGTCCTACTGAGTCAGACCTCGAGTGCGAAGCGCGACTCACTGTTAGTTTGGGTCCCCTACACTGTGTGTCCATCTATCCGTCGGCCGCTTCGCCCGGCGTTCTCCAACGACTCTGACCGGGCGGGGCGGGGCGGGGGGGCGGGGCGGGGCGGCTTGCCGGGGTTGCGGCTGCACTTGGCGTGGGCGTTGACTGGCCGCTTGCGTCCGCGCGTTCCCTCACGACCCACGTGACCGTCCTGTGAATGTGCACATCAGGACCTCCCCTCCCCCCCCCCTCCCCTGCTCTCGGTCACGGCCGCGCCGCCGCGCCCCGACCAGCGCCAGGCTGCTCCGGGCAGCTCCGGGCCGGCGAAGGAGGCGAGGAGGGCGTCAAGAAGAAATGTGGGGCGCATGCCGCCGGCCCGGAGCGCGTCCACCAAGCCCGCCCCGCTCGCCCAGCTCCACGCCGCGAGGCTAGGAGAGCGGTTACAGTGCGCTCGCGCCGAGAGAGCCATCACGTATGCATGGGCTGGCCAGCCCCCCCTCCGCCTCCACTCGAAGGCTGCCGCTGACACAGATTTTCCAAACCATGTCACATTATTGCTCTGTCAGGAGCCATCCGTGCTGCGCGGCTGCGCGGCTGCGCGTCTGGGCCGGGCATGCGTGGCTGCGCTGCCGGCCGCCGGCCTCTGTCTCTCTCGCTCTCGTCGGGTGTGCGAGAGAGACAGAGCGACGGGACAGGCCTTTCGCGCCTCGGCGCTGCACCTGACACGACACTGTAACGCGCGCCTTTGTTTCTGTTTTTGCGTGTCGCTGTGGCTGCGCTGCGGCCATTCCGGTTTTTGCGCGCCCTCGTGTGGACACGGGGCCGCGCGCCGCGCGTCGGTTAAAAGCAACGACTCTGTCAATACCCCGCGCGCGGACCGCGCAACGACTCTGTCAATACCCCGCGCGCGGACCGCGCAACGACTCTGTCAATACCCCGCGCGCGGACCGCGCAACGACTCTGTCAATACCCCGCGCGCCGCAACGACGGGCCGTTTGTTTTTCGAACGGGCCGCGTTACCCGCGCTCGGAAGGCGATCTGGAAGCCCCCCGCCCCACAGTGAGCCGTCTCCACCGGTCTTCTGGCCCACTGTGCGGCGGCACCGGAGATACCCCCCGCCCCAGCGACTGTTGAAGCCAGCGGGCGTGTTCTGGGCGCGGAGTATCGACGCCACACTGCCCTTTACGGTGTGTCTGCCTTGCTGGCGTTACGCGTGCGGCTGACGGGGGTTGAGTGGGGCGCCTCACCGCCTTGCTCGCTCCTTCCGGGACTGATATTTTCGGGGCCGCCAGCAGAACGATTCCGAGGCCCCCTTTCGTCGCTCTGTCTCTCTCGCACCTACACCGGGCGCCCCACGAGAGCGAGAGAGACAGAGCGACGGAAAGGGACTCTCGGAATGAGTCTGCCGGCCGCGGGGCCTTCAGACGTGTCCATTGTTCCACGGCGAAGAATCAGATAGAAGGCAGGCCTTCCTCTACCTCCCCGTCTGCCTGCCTGCCTGCCTGCCTGTCTGCCTGAATCAATAGCCTTCCTTTGTCGCAGGCGGCGATGGGGAATTTAAAAAGAAAGTGGAATGCGTCAAGGGCCGCATTTAATTGCTGCGGCTTTTTGTTCTATTTTTGTTGAGGTTTTATTGTTGTCGTTGTCGTTTTATTTTAAACTACAGGATTTGTTTGTACATGAGGATGGGTGTTGCGGAGCGCTGGGGGCTTTGCGCTCCTGACACTCCCACACAGACCGCCTAGGTGCGTAGCACTCCACACACACAAACACATGCATGCACACACACACACACGGACGCAAGGCAAAGCACGCACAAAGACAGACCACACCTTGGCGAAAACGAAGCACCACACGCTGGCCTAAGTAATGTTTCTATTTGTCGTCGTCCCCAGCAGCGAAGCGTGCTCTGGGCCCGTCCATCCGTCTTCTCATGCATGCACAGAGAGAGAGAGAGAGAGAGAGAGAGAGAGAGAGAGAGAGAGAGAGAGAGAGAGAGAGAGAGAGAGAGGCGCGCAGTAGACGACCTTCGCTAGGTCCCCTCTATGTCCGCTCCGTGGAGACTCCTTCCCGCCCTCCGGAGACTTGTGGTATCTGCTGTGCTGCACCCCCTCCCTCCCTTTCCACACACACGCACACAAACATGCACGCGGCACGCACATTGCCTGCCTCATTAATATCCCCCCCTAGTTAGGCCTAACAGATCCTCGCACTCACACACACACGCACACACACTTTCACACACGCACACACAGTCTCCTGGTACTGACAGAATTACAAAGCAACAGGGGCCCCGACGGGGGCCACGACACGGGACCCGACAGGGGCGTTCCCCCTCCACTGCCATGTCTGTCAAAACGCGGGCGGGGCGGGGCGGGGCGGGCGGGGCGGGGCGGGGCGGGCAAGCAGGCGGGCGAGCAGCTTCTGCTTGGCCCATCCAATCACGCAGTCAAGGGGTTACATACAGCAATCCTGCAATGGCGGCCCGGCGGACCCGGACGGGCGGCGGAGCGGCGGAGAGGCGGAGCACGCAAAAAAAGGGTTGGCGCTGTCCGCGGCGCGCCCGGCCAGCACACTGACACGCCCTGCCCGGGCAGCGTGCGCAAGCAGGCACACTGGGCCAGAAGACCGGAGGCGGCTGTCGCAAAACTCCGCGGACGCGTTTCGAGCTCCAGAGTCGCTAAATGGCCCTCGAATCGAACGTGTGACCCCACCAATGGATTCCTCGTTCGGAGAGCAATCCATTGGTGGGGTCACACGCTCAGTTCGAGTCCTGTTTAGCGACTCTGGAGCTCAAAACGCGTTTGCAGTTTTTGCCGCCTCCGCCCACTGCGGCGGGGGCGCTGAGTGCGCCGTTGGGGCAACGGCCTCACCGTGGCCTCACCTTGCAACCGTGGCGTAAGTTGCGTACTTGCGCGGGTCCACTGGCCTCTGCCCATTCTCTCGCTTCGCCCCCTCCCCCTCCCCCTTCCCCTCCCCGGACGCCAAATCCGCCATTCCTTCGCTTCCTTACGAGCGAGCCTCTCGGGCCGGGCCCGGCCCCCCTCGTGCGGCCAGCGGCGGCCAGCGACCAGTGCGAGGCTATAACTACATCCGGTTCCGCCACCCCGGGGCCCGGAACCCCCAGAACCCCCTAGGAACCCCGGAAACCCGGGAAACCCCCCGGAACCCCACTAATCCCAAGAACAGACGGTCCGACATGGGTCTCTTTTACACGCGCAGTGCGTGCGTGCGAGTGTGAGAACGAGAGAGAGAGGGGGGGAGGGAGGGAGGGAGAGAGAGAGAGAGAGAGAGCGCTAAGCCCCACGACTGCGTTGGTCTTTCTGTCCTGTAAACGGCGTGCTTTCTTCCGTCGACGCGTTGCAGAGCGGAGAGTTAATACACCAGGAGTTGTTGTATCAAATTTCCGCGCTGCCGCATGCTGTGCCCCTGCCGGGTAGGCCAGGCCCTCGCCGCAGCACACACAGCTGTCCTGCGGGACGGTCTACCTCCCAGGCGCCCCGCAGTGGACTCACTCACACGCACACACACGCACACGCACACAAACACACACGCACACGGGCCGCCGTCTCGGCCTCCTTTTTTCCTGCGGCTCAGACCGGCGCGCCGGTCGGCCGGGCCAGTCTCCTACGACCGAACGACCGTACGACCCGAGCAGGAGGATTTACCCAACAGTCTTTAATGCATGTGACCTTATCGAACTGCGCGGCCAAACCCCGCAGAGAGAGAGACAGAGAGAGAGAGAGAGAGAAGGGGGCGGGGCAACTCACATGCGTGCACACCCACCCACCTAGACACTCACAAACATGCGCGCGCGCACACACACACACCACACACGAACGTGTCCGCTACATTTGCTTCGCCGCGGTCTTCATTTCCTCTCCAGAACGCCTTCACCCCTTGGGCCCCTCGGCCGCTGCCGTGCGCGGTAATGTCACGCGGAACGGGTGTAGGGGTGAAAGTCAGTGTGGTGGCGGTAGGCTGATTCCGAGTGGGAGCTGGGTCTCTCTCTGTCTCTCGCACTCATGGAGCGTCCCGTAAGGGTGCGAGAGAGACAGCCGCGGTGGCGGCGCGAAGGGAAAGGTCATCCGAAGGGGTCGGCGCGTCCATGCGGTGGCAGAGGGAGAGAGAGAGAGAGAGAGAGAGAGAGAGAGAGAGAGAGAGAGAGAGAGAGAGAGAGAGAGGTGGCATTGTTCATTGTTTTGCAGCGAGTCCTTTGATCCCCACGCGTCACGGCTGGCGCGCGCCCTCCGCCCCCGCGGCCACGACGGCGGCGAGTTGGAGAGAGACGCCCAGAGTCGCGATTGTCCGCCATACAGTGTGCAGGCCGCGGCCGGCTGCGGACCGAGAGTCGTTTTCGTCTCTCTCGCACCCTTCGGGACGCACCGGGAGTGCGAGAGAGACGGAGCGACGAAAACGACTCAGTCCGCAGGGTGGTGGTTCGCGGCTTCGCGGGGCCTCCGGGGTCGTTCTGCGCGGCCAGCGGCCTGTGAAGTCGAAAGTCCACGCGCCGCACCACTCCGCCACGCCCAGGAGCGGGACATGCAGCAGCGGGGCCTAAATGCCGCCCCCCCCCCCACCCCTCGCCCTTGAGAGGCGACGACGACGTCGCGACACCAAGGCCATCACCACCAGCGGTTTGTCATACCGTGGTCCAGTCACGCCCGTCGCGCCGTGAAGTGTCACTGTGTGTGTGTGTGTTGCGCGCGCCAGTGACGTCACGTCGGCCGTTGGTCGTCCACCATTAGTGCTTCCGTCGCCACCATGGTGTCCACCGCCCTTATTGCTTCCATGCCCCCCCCCCCCCCCCGGCTGCCTGACGGTCTGTCTGTCTCGCTCCCACTCCCTCTCGCTGCGCCGGGCGGCTTCGGCCCAACCCTTCCGCCTCGAAACAACCAGAATTATTGGTGGCTTTCGGACAGTGTAGCACCGGCATGCGGACACACACACACACACACACACACACACACACACGGTGGAAAGTAGGGATTTGTTCGGCTAAAAGGCAACGCGCCGTGAATTACGGGCTCTGTCGCTGAAAGGTTATAATACCCATCATGTCCGGGGGAGGGGGAGGGGCAGCGGGAAAAAGGGGTGGGGGATGCCATGAATCAAAATGACCACCGCGGATATATCACGTCGCGCCTACAATACGTCAATGACTCCGCGAGGATGTCATCGGGGCATATTTTTTTTCTTTGTGACTCTCTGTCTATGGCGTGGGTGGGCGCGGTACCTAAAGGGCCAGTTAATAGGGGAGGAATAATGGGCCTGTCGTTTTTTTTTTGTTTTTTTTTGTGGCTGTTGATGGGTGACGGGCTGCTGTAATTTTTCGCTCCGCCATAAATGGCGCGCATCACGTCGGGTACCTTTTTGTGGCAGCGCCCGGCCCGTCCAAAGGAGATTAGACGGTTTGAATTTCCGGCCGGGATGGAAATGAGTTTAATGCAGCAGGGAAAAGAATACAGCGGGGAGACATAACTGATCGCGACTGAGGGGGGAAACTGTTGTTGTTGTTGTTGTTGTTTTGAGTTGTTCGGAGGGAAGTGCGCTGCAGACGGATCGCCCGTCATGGAACGTCAAACTCGCCCGTTTGCTCGCGTTAGCCGGCCTGGGTTGGTTCGCTGGTTTACCGCGTGGCACACTCTCGAATAATCGACTCGATTCAACCAAAATTCCTCGACAGTTCCTCGCAACTGTTAAATTCGTCAAAAATTTAGTCACACTAACGTGCAATAAAGTGAGGTTTTCTGAGAGTGTGCGTTCATCAGCGCGGACAGCCTCGCGACCGCGAATTAAAAAAGACCGCCAATCCTCTCTTCGCCGTCGTCGAAGGTGGCGGTGTCCTTGAGGCTTTCGGACGCCAGGGTGACTTTGCCGATGAGAACTATCGGGCTTCGCGTAACCTTGCCTGCGTGCTATTTTCATACATTTAAAAGTTTTGTTTTGCTTGTTTTCTTTTTCACAGAGCCGGAGACGGAGATCCTGGGCGGACCGGACCTGTACATCAACGAGGGCAGCACCATTAACTTGACCTGCGTGGTCAAGTTCTCCCCGGAACCGCCCAGCTCCGTCATCTGGAGCCACAACCACGGGGTGCGTATGGTCCACATCGAAAGCAGCATCCACGCCACCGGAACAAGAAAAGCTTTCTATTTTGGAAACTCAACAGCAAAAGCATCTCTTTTTTTTCTCCACCTTTTCGCCGTCTCTTTCTCTGGCACGTCGGACTCATTGTGGGGTGGGGACCGCTGGTTTGAAGCGAGTAATGTGGGAAGGTGCGAAGGTCGAGGGGGGGGGGGAGGCGAGGGCCACCGTGGGCACGCCGCTGCGCTGCCTAGTCTCCTGGAGAAAAGCCGCTTATTCAAATGTGGCCAACTGTCAAACTAATCAACTCGGCTGTCGAATCCGGAGCCCCGGTGCAGGGGGCGGGCGGGGAGAGCACTGCGAACAGGGAGCCCGGCCAGAAAGAATGGAAAGCAAAATAAACATGTCTGATTTGGCAACTTTGCGTCGGAGCACGCGCTGCAGGTAATGAATGCGTGATGCCGGCCTACTTTTACTTTGCGAGGAGGGCTTGTGCAACCCAGGGGGAATGTTTTGTTGCGACGCGCGAACAAAAGCCGTCCTTTCGCTGCGAGGGTATTTTCAGAAAGCGCCTCTTCGCGAAACAAAAAAAAATGGATGTCGGTGCTGCAGCACATCGTCTGATGCATTATTCGTATTATTCTTCGTCCCTTTCCGCCACTGCGCCCCGCCCCGCCCCGCCCCGCCACCCGAACGCTGCTGCAGTATGCAATTTCCCCCCACCGCCCCGCCCCATATTCGATTCCGTTCCCACGGGTGAATCACAACCACCGGTTTAGATAAAGACGGGACGGGCGTGCCGCGTGCGTGCGAGCGAGACGGCGAGGCGAGGCGAGGTTCCCGGAGCACTATGCGCTGCAGCGGCTGCAGCGGCGGCGACCATTCGCGCCGCAGTATACTGTAACTGCTGCACCTGCAGTCAGCAGGGCGCCTGCAGTGTGCAGCCTGCGCGGTCTGCACTGGAAAAAAATCCCCTTTTTTGCGAAAGTTTGTACTGACTGTACTCCGAAAGGGACCGGATAGGCACCCTGCGAAGTTTCGCCTCATGGCCTTCCCTTAAAAAAGAACGCAATGGAAAGAGAGAAACAAGAAAAACAGTCGGCTGCGGCAGTGTTTGAACCCGCGACTTTTGCTTTCCAGGTCATCAACTTCGACTCTCCCCGGGGCGGCATCAGCCTGGTGACGGAGAAAGGCCCTGTCACATCCAGTCGCTTGCTCATCCAGAAGGCGGGGCCCTCGGACGACGGCGACTACACATGCGACCCCGCCAGCGCCAACCCCGCCACCGTCCGCGTGCACATACTCAACGGTAGGTCTGCTGCTTTGGCTCTTGGCTCGCTTGGTCGGTTAAAATTCCAGACGTGTTTTGAGCTACAGAGTGGCAAAGTGGGACTCGAATCGAATGTGTGACCTCATGAATGGATTGCTCTCCGCACGAGGAATCCATTGGTGGGGTCACACGTTCGGTTTGAGTCCTGTTTAGCGACTCTGGAGCTCAAAACGCGTCTGGAGTTTTGTCCGCCTCCACCGTTTGCACGGTGCACCAGGTTGCAAGGCGACGTTGATCACAACAAACGGCCCTACACCACTGAAAACAAGGATGCGAAAAGTATCCCCCGCGGTATTTGGGCCAATTTTATTTTTCTCGTTGCCGAGAGAAAGAAGCCGCGTGGAAATAACTCCGCCCGGGGGCCGTTTAGCATCACGGAAGCCACTCCAACTTTCCATACAAGACCTTTACTTGTCCCCGGAAGAAGGGTCGAAAATTGGATTCAAAGTTGGCGGCGTCGACACGAAATTCGATTCGCGTCTAGGACGGTCGGCGGCTATCCTGCAGCGAGGACAGGGACGGGCTGATGATGGTGATGGGGCCGGAGTGTCGGCCTAGCAGTGCAGGCTGCAGTAAAGCTCCCCGTGGCCGTCGCCACGCCAGCGACGCCCACAGTGTGAAAACACGGCCCGTTGGAATTGAGCCGACAGCTGCCACCATGCGAGGGCTAGACAACGACGAGGCGCTTCTAGGCGGCGACGTGGCGACGCGGCGTCCTCCACGCCGGCTGGACTGCGGCCTGAGAGTCGTTTTCGCCGCTCTGTCTCTCTCGCACTCGTGGGGCGTCCCGTATCGGTGCGAGAGAGACAGAGCGGCGCCTCTCGGAATCAGGCTGTGGGGAAGGGCTGACGGCGCGTTTTGCCCGCCACAGCGGCGCAGCCACGGCCGCCACGGCCCGCGCGTCGGCCGGGCAGTAAAAATCTGCGCGCCGCCATGTACGGCCTGAGTGTCGTGTCGTCCTCGTGCTGTGACGCGCCGCCGCGCCGCCGGCTGGATGTTGCTTTTGTTGCCATGGTGGGTGTCGGGTGGTAAACAGGTGACGGCAGAGCTGGGACCTCTGCCTCCAAGGCTACCGCCCCGTGCTGGCGGCCTTACTGTGTGCCATCAAATCCGACCGGAACCGGAAGAGGGTACAGCCTTCACGCGACGAATGTACCCCCGACGTGCGGCCTGCCGGGGTGGGTGCAACCACCGCGCGATGGCTGTGCCCCAGTACGTACATTGAGCGTGGGGTACACCGGCCCTCTGCTTCCAAGGCTCTGCTGCCAAGGCTACCGCCCCCTGCTTCAACATCTCTGCCTGCCCACTAGCCACGGCCCGGTTCGCGGAGGGTGGGGAGATCCGTGCTTCCGGGCAGCTGCGCGCCAACTAATATTGACACACAACTTGTTTGACTTTTGCAACAGTGTAACTCACTCTCCTCTGATCCGTTCCACGACGCACCGCTGCTCCCAGCTCGCACGCAGTCCGCTGGGGTAGTCGATACAACGCAATGTAACCGCCCCCGCCCCTGGAGAAGTGTTGTGTTTCCACACTGGTAGAACTGCAGCTTTACGCTCCGGTTTCCCCAGTGCGGCGTCGCTGCCCGTTTTCTAACAGTGTGCCTCTGTCCGCAGGAGAACACCCGGCCGCCATGCACCACGGCGGCGGCGGCACCCTGCTGCCACGCGTGCTGGTCTGCGTGCTGGCGCCCTACCTCACCCTGGTGGCGTTCCGGTAGCGAGTCGTGTAGGCCCCGCCACGCCCCGCCACGCCCCGCCACGCCCCACCACGCGGCGCCAGTCCAGACATAGACGTATCGGTGCCCGGCAAGATGACTGTCAGTGATTGTGTGTTTGTGTGTGTGTGTTTGTGTGTGCCGTGCGCGCGGAGGGAGAGGTCCCCAGGACACCGACCTCGGCCTCCCTCCTCTGCGTCGGCAAAGCTCAAAACGTGAGGCCCGCTCCCCTCGGCCCAGGGGGAAGTCCAGCACCTCCAGTCCGGCACCTCAAGCCAAGCCTCAGGCGGCCGCCGGTCCCTGAGTCCGCAGCTCCGCAGCGCGCTGCAGCAGAGCGAGCAGAGCAAGCAGAGGCGCTTCGGGTCGTCCACTCCACCGCGAGTCCCGTGGCTCTCCCGGCTCCCCAGGCTCTCCTCACGGGGAGCGCAGCGGACGCTCTCAGACTGATGATGAGTCCTCGACCAAGTCAACAGAGTTCATACCGCTTGCCTTTAGACAAGTTTGCATTAGGCGTGCCGCAGATTTTCATGTGTCTAGCTGTCATATTTTTGTTCATAACTGTCTTCAATGTTTCTGATTTTTGTTTGTTGTTGTTACTGTTGATGTTTTGTAAATTATGGGTCGTAAGGCTTTAATCTATAAAAAAAGGTGAAATGATCAAATACTTACTGTTTGACTTCAGAATGAATTCAATCTTCCGGTGCGGTGATGACCACATTTTTGCCGCTTATTATGAATTGTAAAAATGTTGAGTGAAAGACAGTCACAGAATGGACCGTTGGTGAAGAGATAGTTTTATTCGTTTTGAGCTGGAATGTGTTAGGTCAGAATTTTGACGCTATTGTACATCTTTCCAAAGCAGAAAATTTACGAGTGTTTTATTCCCAGACCTTGTCTGTAGACATATCAAAGTATAAGGAGCCAACCAAGACGCATGGTTCTGTGAATTTTGAGCGGTGTGGTGTGCATCAAAGCGATTCACCAATCACCACAAACTACTCAACTATTGTTGTTCTACTTGCACTACTTCTTAGCACGAAATTTCTGTGGGTGACATAATTAATTTTATAAAAACAGACACTTGGATTCCGCCTCAAAATTAGGTGAGGGCCAGTTTCATGTTGAAACTTTAACTAGTTAATTAAAAGTGCCTGATGATAACGTAATGTGGTTCAATCAACATGTGTAAACTATGTGATTTGATTTGGTGAAAGCAAAAATAAAGACAAAAAAAAAGGGAAAAACAGAAAGTGCATTCAATGTGGGTGACACAAGAATGTGGCAAAAAATACAAGGAAAAATCCGTCCGACGATGAATCATGACCCTAGCCAATCTTGTGCAAACCCCGTTTCTCAGAATTGCAATGATGCATGCGATACACGTCGCATGCATGGAGGACAGCCACACTGGGGCAGCGAGCCCAAGCGAGATGTTTTGTTTCAGAGTAACAAAAGTGTACCACTGTAAGCATTAATATTATTACCGTTATTATAAAAATCCCTATAACCAATCTTAATGTAAATAAAGAAACATTTGTGTAAATAAAATGAAGGAGCTCATTTTCTCCCCTCCTACACACTTGTGTGCGCGTACCTACGCAGTCAAAGGTAAGAGCGGCAAGAGCCCGCAACGTGACTACCGAACAAAACTCGATAGGTGGTACGAGCGTAGTCAGATGGTTCAAACCTCCCACTGGCTAAGTGTGGCCACATTCTAGAGTGGGGGGGGGGGCACACCTTAAACCTCGAGCCCATACAGCCGGCAGCGGCCAGAACCGCCGCCGCCTTGGCTCGTAATGTGAGACAAGGACAAGGCTCGCACCGATCGCCCGATCCGGCGCCTTCGCAGTGCGCGGCGCGCGGCGCTCCAGGAAGTGATTGCAACCCGACCCCGCTGGTACGCTGGTAGGCAGGCACAGTGGAAACGCGTGTCGAGGCGACACAGTGCAGCCATGGCGCAGCACGGTGCCAGTAGAGTGCTGGCGGTGCTGCCAGGTGGAGAAGCCCCGGCCCCAGCACATGGTGCGCGTCACACACACACACACATACACACGCGCACGCATAGGGTCAACCTGCCAGCTTGCACTTGTACATTTCGGCCATGTAAGCTACCCCCTACCGCTTTCTTCTTTTTTTCCTGCCGGCCCTTGTGTTTCCTGGCCGGCCTGCAGACTGATTCCGAGAGTCGTCCTGTCTCTCTCGCACCTCTAGGGGAAGCCCCATGAGTGCGAGAGAGTCTACTGTCCTTCCGGTCGAGGGCCGTCGACGGCGGCGTGGGTGTCGCCGGACGAGGCTGCCAGTCTGTCTCGCGTCGTCCCGCTCCACGCACGGCCTCACCTCACCGCTCGCAAACCCGCACACTCAAAGTTCTTTTGCGGGCTCAGAAAAACAGTGCGAAAAGACAGCGGAAGAGAGATTGTCCTGCTTGGGCTGTTCTGTCCCTTGTCGTTGTTTGCGTTTTCGGTGGACAAACGTGCTTCCAGCGAAGCATTTTCGTGCGAGTTGGCCGTGAGGTGAGTTCCTCGGCGGTGCGGCAGTGCCACTCCCTCTCACAGTGTCCCAGTTCTCTCCAAGTGGAAAAGGTTAACCTGGCCCCAGTCAAATGCGGCCCGCCCTTCCACCTCGTCCTTCCTAGTCCTTCCCCGCCCGGTCCGTTTCCGATGACGTACCGGAAGTGCGCATTGGGCATGCCCAGAGCAGAACGACCTCAGATCGTCAATTGTTTGTTTAGAGGTTTTATGTTTGTATATGGGGTTGAATATTTATTTTATTTCTGGGGAGTTGTTATAAATGTCAGGGTGTTTCGTTTTGTTATCGTTTAAGTGTCAACATGGCGGCCGTCGCAGACAGTAAGCACTCGGGAGATGACCCAACCTCGGAGTGCAATCGACTTTTCACAAAAAGTGGTGAGTGTTAGGGTTAGGTCAGCTGTCATTTTCTTTGTATCCTTGTGACAGGCTCGAAGACACGAAAGTCAGAGCCAGCAGCACAGTCCCGCGTTATTTTCAATTGGGTTTCCTTCTTCTCATGAAGATGAGACTTGACTGAAACTGTCAGGACGTGAATGTCAGTATGACAGGTGGCAGCAACCATCTGCAACCTTCTTGGTTGGCTCACTTTAGTCTGTGGTCATGGACATACACAGTGTGATTGACAGTTCCCATTGATTTTCCTGATCATTTGGAATAGATTGAAGATATCTCAGTGAATGTAACTTCACCTGATTTCTGTAATTCTTGTCACAGGAAAGACACTTCAGTTACGTGCTCTACTATCAGATGCTGGCTTGTATTCCTATGCTGCTATTTGTGCACTTTGTCTACATGAACTATACAATTATGAATGGGACCAGTCATTCAATCAAAGTTGCATCAACAATTTGTTACACCATCTGCAACTACCAAAACAGGTTTTTTGGCTTAACATATCTTTTCTCCAAGTTATTTCAATTCTTTATTAATGCAATACTTTTATTTTTAATGTCTTTGCCATGTTTACAGGTGAAAGGTGTGATGATCAGTCTCATTGAAGGGCAGGGTAACCAATCTACTGATGCTTATGTGGAGTTGTTGCTCGGTGAGACAAATCTCAAGGGCAAAAGTCTTCTTGTTGTGGAAGACTTGGTGATGCTGGCTGTAAAAGGAGGTAACGCCCTTGATTACATAATGAGCTTAGAAATATCCCCTAGTACAGAAGTTAATTTCCTTTTTTGTTCTCAACTCAAGGAAATTATGATGCTCGGATGAGAGTTCTCATTCGCCATGTTGCTGTCTTACTCCATGTTCCATTGGAGCTCCTAGAGCTGTACGAAGAGTCAGTGGTCGAGTTTTTAACTGAAGAACACAAGGAACTTTCTGAGTAAGATTTTGCATTTTATTTTCTTTAATCTAAGACAAGTTGAATGAGAAATCACCTGTAATACATATTAGAAAAGTGATGAATTTTACAATGTGCTTTTCCTGTGTTTCCAGAGAGGAGCAGCAAGAAGTGAATAAGCGCCACCGTGGCCGTAAAATAAAACGCTATGCATGGATTGGACTAGCAACTTTGGGTGGCGGAGCTATACTGGGACTCACTGGAGGGCTTGCGGCACCTCTGATTGGAGCTGGAATGGGCACTCTCCTTGGTGGAGCAGGAGCAGCCGGAGCAGCAGCAGCTTTGGGATCGACAGCTGGTATTGCAATCATTGGATCCTTGTTTGGAGTTGCTGGAGCAGGCCTCACAGGTATTTGAACAGTGGTCATGCCAGTCTTTATTGAAAATTTGTTATCAGTGTAACTACATACTGTTATGTAATGCCACATCATTTTTTGTAGGGTTTAAGATGAAAAAAAGAGTTGGGGAGATTGAAGAGTTTGCTTTTGGTCCATTGACATTAAATCCTCAGTCATCTTCCAATTCCAATAACAATCGAGCCTTCATTACCCAACAGCTTCATATCAGTATAGTTGTGTCTGGGTGGCTTTCTGATGAGGGGTAAGTACATCATGTCTTATCCCTCACCTTAAGTTTTTTTGTTTTTTTTTCAAATGATTGTGTACTAAATTTTAATTTTACATTTTATTTCAGTGATGATAACTTTACTCGTCCATGGCGTTCATTGCTTTGCTCCCGGGAACAATATTATTTGAGATACGAATCCCAATACCTCCTGGAACTTGGTCGTGCAATGGAATACATTCTTAGCTTTGCTGTTTCAATGGCTGCTCAGGAAGCGTTGAAATACACCATACTCTCAGGTATGACACATGAGTAGGTAAATTTTTTCTTACCAGTCAACATGCTGAATACATCTGTTGTTTTTAGGTCTGTTAAATGCAATAATGTGGCCTGCATCATTGATCACCTTGGCATCTGTTATCGACAACCCATGGGGTGTTTGCTGCCGTCGCTCTGCTGAAGTTGGAAAGCAACTGGCTGAAGTTTTAATGTCACGGGAACAGGGTCAGAGGCCTGTAACCCTTATTGGATTTAGCCTTGGAGCCAGAGTTATCTACTACTGCTTGCGTGAGATGGCAAGTCGCCCAGGAAAGAGTGAAGGCATTATTCAAGACGCCATCCTGATTGGAGCACCTGTCACTGGCAGCACAAAGGAATGGTCCAGATTTGCTCGAGTTGTGTCTGGCCGTTTGGTTAATGGCTACTGCAGGTTTGTTTCTGCTCTAGTTAAATTAATGAATGAACAAAATTCTTGCCAAATTTAATCTAATGCTGGAATTTTTTCTTTGATTTAGGGGTGATTGGCTTTTGAAATTCCTGTACCGTACTTTTTCAATGGCAAGTGGAGTGGCAGGTTTACAGCCCATAAATTTCAAGGACCGACGTATGTTTAATTATGACTTAAGTGAACTGGTTTCAGGTAAGTTATGGTAATTTTGTAAGTGAAAAATTTTTGTATGGCTTATGACATTTTCTTATAGTGTGTTTGTGTGTGTTTTATTCCAGGGCACAGTGAATATCCAGAGAAAATTCGAGAGATTCTTGAGCTCATCGGTGTACGAACACGGTCCCTTGATTCAATGGCAGCTGCTGATATGGCCATGAAAAAATCCAACTCGGATTTACCTGTTCGACCGCAATCCAAGGTATGTGGGATTTCGTCAATTTGTCGGAATTAATTATAAATCAGCTTCTTAGGGCAATTTACATCTTGCAATGCTGGATTGCCTGTATGGCTCAACAACTAATTCAAATTTTCAGATTTCTTTGTTGTCTTTACGTCGCTGCAAATCTGACAACGCAGTTCATCTTTGTGGCCTGGATGAAGAGAAATGGAAAGAAACACTTGCTGCCGCTAGTTTGGAGACATTGGCCATATCTTCACCAACGGTTTCAACCACTCCATCAGAACCCAAGTCTCCACCATCCTTCCAGAGTCCTCCTGACAAGTTTTCTGCATATCCTTAGGCTCAGCAGTCAGTATTTACTGTCTGAAAAAGTTTCTTCTGTAGATCTTCGTCTTGTAGATTTACCTTAATTTCCTAATTCATGCTTTAAAAATTTGATCGTACATCCTTCAACCCCCTATTCTTTTCTATATTGTATGTGCTACGTAAAAATTCCTTTGTTTTCTTCTAATGCGGGTTGAGGCTTTAATGTCTGTGATTGATGTTGACTGAAGCACTGTTGTGAGCTGTGCACTGTATTTATCCAAAAGTTTCACGACGGCTGTTTTTTGGCAGCCTCGGTTTGTTCAGTTTGAAAGAAAATGTATTCGAGAAACCCTCCAGAGGTCCTAACTTGTTGACAGGTGGACCCAATCTCATAATGTTATTTAACAGTTGAAGTCAATTTTTTTACTACATTATAAAATAGTAAGAATGTCGCTCATATCAACAATTCTATTGATTTTGATTGTAATATTATATTGTATAAGAAAAATGTTTCATTACACCACATTATCATTTCATCATTTAAGTATTTCGTTGGTAAGATCTCTGGGGCGTGTTACTTGTGTTTTAGGGGTGTATAAATTAGATGGCAAAAGAGGCTTTAGGACATTTTAAAAAATTTCCAAAAAATATCTTTTTAAGCTTGTTTTTTTGTTGTTTTGTTTTTTAGCAAAAGAAAACGAGGTATTGAGTTCAGCAGCATATCAGTTTGTTAGTCAACTTCTTGGGTGGATAGCCTCTACCATAAACAAATGTCAATTCTCATACATATCATTTGTTCACCTTTTACTACTACAATTCTAATTAATGCTGAAGTCAAATTTGTTGGTTTAAAAATTATTCAGATTTATATGAGCTGGGCTTGGTGTTTTAATCTTGTAAGAGTTTAAATTATACATATCAACCAATTTCATTGGTTTATGAGATTTTATCTTAGAAATATTTTTATAGTTGTTTTGTTACATACTGCAGTAAATTTTATTGATGTTACAAACCTGGAAGGAGACCAAACACATTAGTGGTGCTCACCTTGTGTGAATCATATCAAATTTTATCTTAAACTTTCCCTGTATAATTTGGACCTTAATCAAGAAGGGCATGAAGTTGTCTCATGTCAGTACCATTCCGTGTTAGCAAAAAGGTGTCTATTGCTTTTTGGCAATGGCATTTTTTTTATTTTTGCTTTTGTCTTATCTCAATGAACGTAGTGCTCTGCAAATGACATTTATTGCATTTAAGAGACCTTAGACAATCAAATTGAGTATTTGTGTGTATCTTTGTGTGTAGTTTGTATGTGCTTCAAATTGAGTGGTATCTGCAATGTTAGTGTATGTTCCTGTTTTTGGATGTTAGTTCTTTGAAGATCTTTAAAGTTTTAGTATAAGTGATCCTTGGCCAAGGGACACAAAATAGTGACTTTTTATTACTTACATGAATGAGGAGATCATTGAGTGTGTGGCAACACACAGGGTATGTGGCAAGGTGTCAGATGTTGTTTATTTTGACCTTTTATTCATGCCACTCAGTAAATTTTTAATAACATGTTGCAATTTAGAAATGCTTCAATGTTTCATAGGCTGAACTAACACCTGTTTCTGGTTTAGTGGAGTAGGGCATATTTTGCCTGTGTGGTTCATTAATAGACTTTGTTGTCTAGTCATATCAATTAGGATTATACTAGTAGGGGGTGTCATGGATCGTATTTATATTTGACTGCACTACTGTATTTATTTCGTGACATGTTTTAGTTTTAGGTTTCTGTGGTTACAAAATTCCCTTCTGGTCATACAACTATGTATGATCTATCCAAACAAACTTTCCTGTCAATATTTTTCTAGACAATGCACTTTTCTTTTTTTCAGGGGATCTCCCATTTTGTTACTTAGTTGTCTTTGTATTAGTATTATGTAAGGTCTCTGATACAACAGTATGGTTTTTAGGTTTCTTTTCTCAGCTTGTCAGGCGGATATACCCAGGATTTACTTTCAGGGGTCATGTCACACCTTTTGCCTACTTACAGGTGGATTGGTAGTGTTGGTGCCTACCTTCAGGCGGATGCGGATTGGACTGCAGTTTTCCCACCTTCAATCTGGTTGTACTGTATGTTGCATTCCTTCTGAGGCATTGGTCTGTGGCTTCCACAGGTGTGACCCCCACTCTGGGTATGCGCATGTAGCTTCAAGCTCTCTTAATTAACATTTGCTCATCATGTTTGTTAGAATGGTGCTCTCAATTTTGCTTTGTCTGCATCGTCTCCATTAATCAGAAATCAAAGCTTGGAAAGCTTTTAAATTTTACTACGTCACTAATTTTTCTATCAAAAAGTTAGTTGTTCACCTCTTTTATTGTAAAAACCAAACAGAATCAAACTCATTGCAGCTGCATTTTGCTCTTCCATATTGACTGCTAAAAGTAAATTTTATTTTGAAGTCAGAACTGATAAACTTACAGTATTCAAGCAGACTCAATTTTATTGTGATGTTATCAATCAGATTATCTTGAAGTATTAATTTTCTGTCCAAATTACCTTTTGAAGCAGGCCATTTGTCTTCAGTCCGACAAGAAAAGTGCATTATTTTGGTCTTAATTTTATTCTTAAAATTCTCTATGCATTTTTTTTTAATTAGTGTGTTAAGGCTTGGAGTAGCTTGCTCCAAAAAACTGCCTGAGCAAATCAAAACAAATCCCCGATTTATCCCTATGATTTCTGTTGTGTGCTGTTAGTACTGTATATTCGTAAACAGAAAGTGCTGATTCTTTCCAATCCTTATTGAGTGCTGTTTTTTTACTCAAATAGATGTATAGCGAATAACAGTATGCCAGTCTTTGTTTAATGAAAACAATGATTCTGATAGACTTTCTAAAACCTGCTCAAACTAGACCATTTCATTCATCATCACCACTTTCTCAGCTTTCAGCATGTGTACTGTATGTTCATACTTATAAATGTCTTTTATCAAATTGACTGAAACGCACATTTTGCAGCTGCCTTCATGAGTCTTAGTGTTAATGATTCATATTGAAAATTCAATGGGTATTAGATAATTTGCATTGTGTTCGTTAACAACATTGTTGGAAACTTGAAAAGCTCCCGACTGTTTTGTAAACCATATCATAAAAGCAAAAAATGGATTCTGTATTCTATTACCAGGATAATTGTACATGAAACAAAGGATTTTTAAGTTTTTGTTCTTAATAGAAATTGTAGTTCAAGAAAGTGTTTGTCAGTGGTCATAATGTTACAACATTTTGAGTTTGAGACTTTCTGTTAGTTTGCCCCATGACGGTGGTACTAATGTTTTATCAGTTGTTAAACATTAACAACTTCACAGTAACTTTGTTCTTCTATCCTGAGTTTTACAATAGTCCATAGAACAGTCAAAAATCCAAGTTTGGTGCTACACATAAATGGTTTTTGCCCATTGATTTAATTAGTTCAGCTGGTTGTAAGTTCATGAACTTAGGCTGATTGCCTCATTCTGTAATCCGTCATACAACTAGCCTCTTTAGAATCAGACATATCATTTGTCAATTAACTGTTTAGTTAAATGTGTAAATGAGCTTTCTAGATCAGAATATGTTACATATTTTTATAGATGTGTTGAATGTAGAGCTGTTGGTTAGTGGTAGATTTTGATTCTAGCCCTGTGATAAGATTGCCTGTAATTTTCTAGTGCTCTGTGATCTTGATAGACATGCCATGATATAGAGTAAGTTGAATGTGGAATTTGTAGTTTGTAGATACTCCTTGAAATGAAAGACATAGTGGAGTCTGACCATTTCTCTGTAGAAGGTGACTCAGGGTGCGCGCAATGAAGTTGCCCAGCTTGTGTCCAGCGCCTCTCAGGACGCTTATCCTAAAGCTTCAAAATAAAAATGTAAAAAATAAAAAATGGTGTGTTTATGAAATTTAACCTTTTTAATCCTGTATCATGACGATTGTTCCATTTGGATACCAGACCAATAAGCATCTCCATAAAGTGGATGGTGTTAGGTTTAAGGCTTAGTTGATTTACTTGATTTTCCATCAAGGTTGGATAGATCTTTATTTCCAACCAAGTACAATTTAAGTTTTGCAGAGAGAAAAAAAAATGAAGTAAGGCTGTTGGAGACCTTGAGTACACAGAACAAAAGTGCAGCCAGCACCTTAACCACATCAATTACTTTGGACCAAAAGCACATCAAGAAATGAAGAAAAGAATATCACATAAACAATAGGATCTGTACATGCGCATTTGATAATGAAGAAAGCAGTAGATCATGACAGCCAATTCTATGAAACACATTGTTTCATTAATTTTCTTTTTGTCTCATAAATACTGCTTGTTTGGTATATAACACAACTTCTTAGTGCAATATACTCATAAACATAAAATCTATACTATTTGCACATACATTTAAAACACCAACTATGTAAGTAAGATAAAAATAATAAAAATTAAAGGGAAAAAAAAGAAAACAAAATTTAAAACATGACAAGCATTATACACGAAGATGTCAATTTAATAATTAGATTCACACAAGATTTTAGTTCAATTATGGGAATGTAGTCAACTACTACCACATAGTTGTCATAGAACGTAAAATATTCAATGAAATACTTTTGAGATCAAAATCAGAGGTGTCTACGTCTACTTAGGTAGAGGTGGAGGCGGCTGCGTGTAGGCTGCGAAGCCGTTCATTTGGTTGGCATAGGCGTAGGCCATGGCGTTGCTGGCCATGGTGTTGGTTGCGGCGGGAGGCGGGCCGGGGGGCATGGCTGCGTACCCAGCCCCGCTCGCCGCAGCACCGGTGGCACCGGCCAGGAGAGGTGGAGGAGCGCCGAAGCCTGGTCGAGCCGCAGCGCCAGCCCCCGCGCCAGCTTTGGCGGAGTATCCAGCGCCTCCTTGGTCGCTGCCCCAACGAGAGCCCCTGGAGCCACGGTCGTCCCTCGAACCGCCGAAGCTGCTGCCGCGGCTGCCGCCGCCCAGGCCGCCACCGAGGCCACCGCCGAGGCCACCGCCAAGGCCACCGCCGCCCCCAAGGCCGCCGCTGCGACCGCCTCCCATGCCGCGAGGACCACGGTCGTCGCGTCCTCCGCGGAAGCCACCGCCAGAGCGGCCGCCGCCGCCACCACCGCCGCCGTACCTGCTGCGGCCTGGGGAAACAAATGGCCTTTTAGCGAGGGAACAAAAAAACAAGGGCACAGGGCACACTGTATACTTACTTCGACCGAAGGCACCAGATCTGGACATTTCACTCAGCTCATACAGCTTGGGATTGACCACCTGCTTTGCTTCCTGGAGTACACTGATCAGGTCATTGGCTTTGTTTCCATTTTGGGGTGTGAAGAAGGCGTAGGCAGTTCCTGTCTGACGTGACCGACCAGTACGCCCAATGCGATGGACGTAGTCTTCCGATGAGGAAGGATAGTCATAGTTGATGACAAACTTAACATCATCAACATCTGCAGGAAAGAGTTAACAGTATTTAGAAGAGAGATCAAATATTGTTAAGAACTGCAGCCGCAACTAGGCATTTGTTTTTTGTGAGAGTCATTCAAGGGTATTTAAAAGGAAAAACTGGAAGATCAGAATAAGTAAATGACTATGCAAGGAGTAAAAAATAATATTTTTTAACAAAATGTGCATAAAGCAACAATGCACAAATTGTGAACAAAATACTAAGATGTTGTTGACTCTTGAATCACTCTCAGGTTAAATGGTTTAGTAAAGTTGCAAACTATTTTTAACCTCTCATGCAATTTGTTCAATCCAAAAGTAGCTTCTTTCGCCACCAAATATGAATACTGTCTTTGATAAGAACAATAACTGGCATGAGTTAAAAATAATTACGGACCATTCAGCAGAAAGTCCCTTATTTAAAATGTGGGACATATTAATGCAAAATGACAAGTCTTCATGCCTTTCCAAACACATAGGAAGTCATAAACAACCTGCCTGTAATGGACTTTGATTAATATCCAGACTGGTGGATAATTGAATATTGTAAGATTTGTAACATAGCAAACAATATTACATATGCTGTACAATTTGCAACAGAACATACTGATAAAGACCCTAAGTACAGTCAACTGACAAGAAAATATTCAAGACCAAGGTGTGGTAATTATTATCTGGCTGCAACCAACAATCTACATTGAAGTATGAAGTCAATTGGGCATGACACACAGTTTTAATAATGGACATATGATGGAACACAAAGATTTAGCAAGACCAGGCGAAAACTGAGACAAGGCAAAGAACAGAAGACCTGTCATCTGCAAAATTCTGCAATGTGGCTGATAATGAGCTTCTCGATTTCAACAGAAAAGTCTGAGAGGTACATAAACAAATTTGCTAAAGCAATCACCACATTTTGTTTAGTTGATTGATGGCTTGTATCATCGAAGCAACAGCTTTGCTTTGTTCTCAACCAAAAAGAAGTGAATGAAACTCAGAAGGAATATCTGCTTGAGGATTCTAACACGGAGAGAGCAATTTAAAAAAACCAACTATGTTTGGAATTTTCTTTTTCAAATAAAATAAAAAAATGAAACCTCAACACCAAACAAACAGTGAGAGATCTGACAAGAGCGACGACCACTGAACTGAACAACGCAGCCCAGTCGACACTGCCCTTACCTGAGCTGCCGCACTCTTGGTGCGCACACTTGGTGCTCCCCTCCGGGCCAATTGGAATCCTGTTCATGCCTGCCTACTACACTCCTAGAGCTTCACAACTAACTCTGGTCAGGACGAACGACGGTGCGGTGCGGTGGGCGTGGTATGTAAAACGCGGTTACAGTTCCCTTCCCCAGCGTGGCTGTACAGCGGGGAGTACATTTCAACCGCACAGAGGCACTGCCAGAAGGGGAAACCACCTCATCTCGCATGTGCCTCTGGAAAACAGAAACAACAACCAGACTTAATTAATAGTTGACAAATAGCTTTAAGACTTGATGCCCACTCACAACACAGCATTGACACAAACGGTTCCAGCTAGCACAAGTGCAACTAGTCACACACCGTCTGTATCATAATGCATCTCAAGCCAGCACCAGTGCTGCCGGGCGCAGCCTGCTCTTAGCTCTTCAGGTCACCTCCCCTTAACGATCAGAGAGGCAGGGATAGGCATCCACCTGCCAAGGCACTTGGCAAATCCAAACTGAGTAAAAGCTTCAATGTCTGTCTGGCATTTTGAGAGCTCACACAGACAGTTCTTGGCTGCAGAAACAGAAGCATGCATTTGTCTGCGGACAGACAATAGTTTCGGCAACCATAAAGATAGCAACTAGTGAGACAATGATGCATCTCACTCAAGGCAAACTCAGCTTGGACAAAAAAAATTAGGCACATCCACTGGTAATAAACTGGGGAAAAAAGTGACCCAAACCTAATACTGGTACTAAGAGCTGGCAAGATATTAGTTTGGCGGAGCGGCCATTAGTCAATAATATGCATAGAGATGTGTCAATACCAACATCTCTATGAGGCAGGCAGGGTCTGTTAAGAATGATCTTTCATGGTTTCATGGCACAAACTTCTCCATGATCTAGATTTGCACACATCTTTGAGTTAGGTTTACAAATAAATGGAAGAGAAACACAATATAGTATTAATCCACATGGCAAAAAAGCTGAGCTCCATAGAGATGAAGGCACCACACCTCTCTATACAAAATGACACAGTCCTATCACACACCAGCCTAGCAGCTGCTTGAACACAATATTTGCTGGGTGGTGAAGGATGCAGGATAGGACCAGGTCCAAAGCTCCAGAAGACTTCCAAAAGTCTTCTTAAACACAACAAAAGACCGTCCAACATTTGCTTCCATTTGCTCCTACATTCTTATGAGATATTGAGGTGAAATACAAGTTCTTAGTCAAACCCTATGGCCATTGCTCAGCTTCATTAAAACCATGAAAGCATACCACAGCATACTGATCCCTCAAAACAAAGTATTTTATCAAAAGATGTCCCAATCTACAAATGAGCCTAGTACTATAGTGAGTTGAAACTTCATGGCAAACTAGAAAGTAACAAGTACCCAGTACATACTCTATAACAAAGTCTGTTTCACAGACATTATTAACACATGTCCACGCCTAAAAGTAAGACCATGAAAATCATCCCCTTGTTCGGGCCACTGCATCATGCATTAGCTTGTGGGCATTAAAAGTTGACCAGCTCCGCAAACACAGCCACAACACAGCTGGGTATGACACTCCAGGGCATCAGCCTCGACTCAATTTGTCAACTAGTCTGGTAGAAAACACCGCGCCGTCCCCTGACACTGACTTTTGTTCCGCAAATATGTCCACAAAACTGCAGTCAACATTTCACAGCTGTCCTCAACCACAAAGAGGTCTTCACTACCTCTAGTAGAAAGGAAGAAGGGATAGAGAAGAGACGTGAGATGATGAGTAAATGAATAAATACTAGAAAGGACAGGTGGCGTGTCAGGAAAATGTGTCAGGAAAGCATTACCTTATACCAAAATGTGGTCACTCTGTAAGGCATAATCCCTTCTATAAACAAATTACACACATGAAATGTGACTGCAGATGCATTACCACCACGTGCTTCACTTGCTGCAGAATGCAAAAACACAGTGCGAAAATTGGCCTACACCCACTTAAGTTAGTATCCAATACCAAACACAGCAAGAAGGTCTGTGGTCTGGAAGAAGTACTGGAACAAGAGTCAGTCTGAATGTGGAATGTGAGACCACAAGGCCTATGTGTGACAGCCATTCAAAGCTCCTACCCTCTTCACACGTTAAAGAAGGTGCAAGAAGAATGTTCACTGAAGAAACTGCAAACCAAAATATATTAGCAATTGTCTTACCTAACCCTCGAGCTGCTACATCAGTTGCCACCAAAATATTGATCTTGCCATTTCTGAATTCTGTGAACAAGCATTTAAGACTATTAATGAAAAGTTTTAGATAAGATAGTAAAGGTAGAAGAAGCATAAACACGTACCATTTAGTACATAATCTCTCTCTTGTTGTGATTTGTCTCCATGAATGGCCATAGCATGCCATCTAAAAGCAAGATATGAAATTGAAGATTTGATTCAGTTGGCTCCATTACACTCCAGAAGCTTGAGAAACAAGCATTGCAATAACTTACCCATATCTAGACAATGCACGAGTAATTTCATCAACTTTGCGCTTGGTTTCAACAAAAATCATGGTTTTGTTTTCTGCTTCAGCAGCAATTTCTTGAAGAAGTTTAAGCAGCCTAGAATATAAACATCAGACAGTAAAAAATGACATCTTAAAAAAAACCTCCAGGATATACACAGCAACCAGCATGAAACTCACTTGCCCTCCTTTTCATATTCTTGACAAACATCAACTATTTGAAGAATATTATGGTTTGCAGACAGTTGAAGAGAGCCAACATTGATCTGGATATAATCTGTCAAGAACTCTTCAGCAAGGTTGCGAACTTCTTTGGGCCAAGTAGCAGACCACATGAGAACTTGACGGTCAGGCTGTATTACAAATTTGGCATTAATAGAATGATGAAAAAAATAATACTAATTGAAGGAAAACAAATATTTAGGAACATATTCATACTCTGATTTGCTCAATAATCTTGCGAATTTGAGGCTCAAAGCCCATGTCTAACATTCGATCAGCTTCATCCAACACAAGATAGGTACACCGCCGTAGATTTGTGGTGCCTCGTTCCAGGAAGTCGATTAACCGCCCAGGAGTAGCAATCACAATTTCAACTCCTCTTTCCAAATCACGAGCTTGACCTCCCTTGGGCGCGCCTCCAAACACACATGTGTTGCGAACATAAGTAGAGGAGCCAAAATCTGTTGCCACTTGCTGAATCTGTTGGGCCAATTCTCGGGTAGGAGCAAGAACTAAAGCTATTGGACCATCATTACGCACTATCCTGGGTTGAAAGTTGATGTGAACTACAGCTGGCAAAATGTACTGTAAAAGAGAAACATTAACGTAAAAAATTACTGTGATTGTGATGAAATAAGGATAGTCATTCGAGGGTCGAGTAACTTACAGCTAAAGTTTTGCCAGAACCAGTTTGGGCAATGCCAACCATGTCTCTGCCGCTCATGGCAATCGGCCATCCTTGGGCTTGAATTGGTGTTGGTTGAGAAAATCCTTGTTTCCTTTGAGACAAAATGTTTTTGATAAGGATTGCCATACACTAAAGATATAAATTTGAGATGGAAATGCCGTAATACCTTATCTCAGCAGTTACATAGTCAGGAAAATTGACTTCTTCAAAATACATAATTGGATTTGGAGCAGTGGTCCCCTTTACAGTTATTTCAACACTGGATCGATATGCAGCGACTTCCTGTGGTGTCCTGCATGACAGGATAAGACAAAAGACAATTAAAAGAGCCATTACAACAAAAAAGCTTTATATATGAAAATATATACCTGTTGGCAACATTGGGATGTGGAACATAGAAGTCCTTCCTGAATGGCTGAAGAGTGCTCATATCCCATCGAGGTTTACGGAGGCGTTCTCCAGGCTGTTTTCCCTTCAGGCTGCTTCCAAAGCCGCCACCACCTCCAAATCCACCTCCGCCAAATCCGCCTCCTCCAAATCCACCACCCCCACCGAATCTGCTTCCTCCGCCAGATCTGCCAAAGTCTCGTCCACCACCTCCTGCCCCTCCTCGGCGTCCATCTCTTGAACTACCCCTATCTCTGTCTCGGTTCCTGGCAAACAGAAATTTTTTTAATGCAAAGACATTTTGCACACCTGAGTCTCTGCTTTGCTCCATACACACAAAAAACAAATAGGGCTGGAGAAGTATATTAGTATACTTTTGAGGTATGGAGCTATGGAGTTTAAGAATAACCCTTCTTGCAGTGCAAGAGTGGACTTGGTATATAGGGGCCTAATAAGTGAACACTGATGAAGAAGAGGAAATTATCAGGAGAAGTCAGAGCTCAACAAAAGAATGAAAGCAGAAACTAGGCCGACATCGCAGTAAACGGTATTCGAAAAATAGGCCAAACCAGGCCAAAGCCAATTTTTGCTAGGAGAGCACTAGAAACTGACATCAATGGAAGGTCTAACCGATTCCATAACGAGAAAACCGACATCTACGCCGAAGAAATTAGTTTCAAAAGGATTGGAATTGAACAATAAAACAAAGGCGAAGAACGATCTTCATTTCATAAAATGGGATAGAAATCGATGGGGATATGCACTTGAAGAGGGCTTAGATGCGATTCAGAATTGAGTCTATTCCTACAGGAAAAGAACGAAGGAACTCTTGGAGTGCTCACACAAGCACATCAACTAACAGATGCCGCTAGAAAGTACTCACATGTTTGTTTAGTTTGACTGACTAATAAATATTCTGTAGGACCGGTAGGTGGTAGGCGTAACGTAGCTGAAGCAGAAACTTCGGTGGCCTTAGTTTCTGTCACAGCTACTATGTTCTGGAAAAACACATTAGACAATTAACGTAGCTGGAGACAGACAAGCAATATCCAAGAGTTGAACGTTGTTTAGGAAACTTTAAGCGAAAAGAAAACATGTAAAAGGCAAAATTTACTAGGCAAGCTTCCAAAACTCTCACCTCAGAAAGCAAGCAAGATGGCCGAGCTGCTACGACGACGACATACGCAGCGTTCGCAGAAAGTATTCCTACGCGCCCTAAAAATAGTCCCTCAGTCAGCAAATCGTTAAAGCCTCAGTTTGGACGTTAGAACCTACAGGCTGCGAGAAATGCTTCAGAAATTACTGCAATACCAATATTAGAGGTACTTATTGGTTCCAAACAGTGAATCTTCCGTCCGCAATGACAGCTAAAACTTGGACACAATGACCATCACGGAAGCATGGAAGGGCCTTCAAAGTTTTCCCTCTAAGCTTTAAATGTATGTATAAGCTCGCGTAAAATACGATTTTTTCAACATTTTTCTCTTTTCTTTTAATGGTTTGGGGGAATTTTGAAAAGCCCAAAGATCGCAAATGCATCAATATTGTAGTGTTGGTAGATCATTTACTCTTTTCGCGGGAAAGTTTGAATCGGTTCGCTAAAGCCCTTCTGCATTTTAGCTATGGTGTAGTGATGTGTCTTTGGAGCTCTTTTCTAGTTGGACGAGGATCGTATAAAGAAATCATTCCATATAATATTAGGCGTTTCATAACTTTCTTTATTGAGTATTAATTGAGATCATGGTCCTTTCTTTTTCCTCTTGAACAAGGCACATAGGCACGCCTTCAGCATACATACAACAAAATGCAGGTTTCCTCATAGTGCGCATCAGAATTGATCACATTTACATCCATGATATTCCCAAAATAAACCTGAGTTAGGCCCATTGTAGAAAAGAGGATTTTTGCATAGTTTGCGTTTTTATGAGACTTCACAGTGGCTATGTATGATCTCCAAAACTCTGAGAAAGATGCTGTGAGTTTATATGTAGTTGTATGTATAAATTCATCAACCGATGCAGAAAATAATTCTAAAAGTAATGATTAATGGCAAGTTTAACGGAGAAGCCAAAAATGTGCTTCCACTGCATAAATTAAATTCTGATTCATCTTATGCATACAAAAGCAAGACCAAGTAATAACAGCATAAAAATGTAGGCAGTAAAACAGGATGACATTTGATTCGAAGGACTTTCACTACAGTAGATGGCAGGTGTTTTGTCAAATAAACAGAACAGATCATTTTCTTAACCTTCCACAAGAACTTTTTTGATATCATCCTATACATCTATGTAAACTTTACAAAATGCCTATACTTGAGTGAAATCATTCTAATAACAAATGGTTGGTGCTGGGTGTTGTCCGAAGATGAGGAATTACTGAGCAATTCAAGGAAAAACTGAGAGGCCAACCGACAAGATTAATTAAGAAGGTCATACACCTACATACATTTGACAAAACAAAGAATGGTAAGAGGAACTGATTCAACATGTTGAAAATTACATTTGGGTCTAGAGGAAGGGGCAGGTTTCCCAAGCAGTAACCACTATTTTTCTATTAATATTCTTGTCTTTACATTTCATAGCCCTATAGAGTAGAGTCAAGGATGCATCCAAGTTACAGAAAAGTGCTAAATTTTGAAGAAATCGCTACACCACAATTGAAGAACAAAAAGTCGTGGCAAATGGGAGAGCCAATTACCGGAAATAGAGTCCCATGGATATGTAGGGAGGGCCTGCCTGCCTCTAGAGCGAGGGAAGCCAAGAGCAAGAGCCCCCCGCGGAGGGGGGTCGTTCGTCAGATGTCATCTGGTCATCTGGTACAGGAGTTGGCCCCCCGGGGCCTCGTCCCCTGCAGACTGGTTCCGAAGAGTCGTTCGCTCTCTGTCGCACTCACGCGGCGCCCGTAGGGGTGCGAGAGAGACAGAGTGATTCTTCGGAATGGCGTGTTGAGTGGTCGAGCATGGCAAGCGCCAGGCATCGCCGAGTGTCTAGGGCGAGCGCCGCAGGTCGGGGTGCTGCAGGCTGGCGGCCAGCGCCGCGCCCACCGAGGCGTCGCCGCTCTGGGTGAAGTGGACGGGCATCTTGTAGGCGGCGGCCACCTCGGCCTGCAGCAGCTGGTTCCGGACGAGCGCCGAGCCGCCGCCGATGATCCTCTGGACGTCGTGGCGCACGAACACCTCGCGGGGCATCATGTTGTGCAGGTTGCTGACGACGCCCTTGCAGAGCGCGCGGAACACGGCGCCCAGCCCCACGTTGCTGGGGTCCAGGTTGCTGACGACGGCGCGGAGGTTGGGCGTGTGGCGCTCGCCTAGCAGTGTGGGGCTCACCGTGGCCAGCCCCGCCTGCGCGTCCTCGGGCACCGCCAGCCCCAGCGCCACCGCCTTCTCCCACAGCGCCGCTGCAGAGCGAAAACAGCACACATTAGAGCGGGAACGACCCATTTTGCTGAAACGGAGGTAGGGCACTCACACTGCGGCACGTGGAAGCCCAGGTCGAGCGTCCACTGCTGCAGCATGCGGATGAAGGTGGCGAGGGCGTTGCCGCCGTTGATGGAGGCGGCCACGGCCAGGTAGCGGCCCTCGAAGTACGGGAAGTACAGCACGGCCGGCGACAAGCCTGCGAGCAGAGTCCAGTTATTTGCAGTGCAATTTGCCCAGCCCCAGCCAGACAGACAGCTGTTTGCTCAGACGTCGTCGCCGAGGCCTCGGCCAGCTGGAGAGTCGCTCTGTCTCTCTCGCACCCCTGCGGGCGGTCCCACGAGTGCGACAGAGACAGAGCGACGCGAGAAAGGTCGGCTGCTCCGCGCCCCTCACCGGAACTCGAGTCCGCGACGTCCGGCCGGAAGCCCTCGGGCAGCACAAAGGCGATCTGCGCCGAGGTGGAGATGTTGAGGACGGCGTCGCGCGCGCCGTGGAGGGTGCCCAGCACGGAGCACTGGAAGTCCCCGAGGGCGGTCCCTGTAACGGCCGGACTGATTGGGCGGCGGACAAGACGAGAGAGAGAGAGACGGACCAGGGTTGCCACCATGCACAGTGCAGAAAACTGCAAGGTATTGCCTAGCAGGCAGGCTGAAGGTTAGCCCTGGTGCTTCATTTTTTTGCCCTGTTGGCAGCACTACTGACCGACGCTGGTGCCGACAGGGATGCCCTCCCACGGCTCCACCAGGCTGCCGACGCTCTTCTCCGAGTGCACCACGTCGGGCAGCAGGCGGACGGGGAAGCCCGCCTCGGCCAGCTTGTCCACCTCCCAGGCGGCGTTGGCGGCGTCCACGTAGCCCCAGCTGGCGGCCGTCTGCACCGACATGGCGGGCCGGTCCAGGCCGCACAGCATGGCCGTCACCAAGTCCTGCACCGTGGCCGCGTGCGAGTACCGCTCCAGCTCCTCCGGCCTTAGAAAGAGAGAGAATCAATGTCTCGATACAAACGCCGGCTTAGCGTCTAACCTAACCAAAACCTAACCAAACCTTACCTAACCAAACCTAGCCTAACCTAACCAAACCAAACCTAACCTAATCAGCTGGAAAAAATGAACGCTTGCTGCGCCTTTACCAGTGTACTTGAAGGCCCACCTGTTCTTGGCGAGCCAGAAGAGCGTGGCGCAGCCGTAGCCCGAGTGCACCACGGAGCCGGCCATGGGCGGCGGCAGGTCGGCCAGGAAGGCGGGCGAGCAGCGCGAGTCCTGCCACGTGTAGAGCGGCGACATGGTGACGGGGCAGTCGGGCTGCATCAGCTCCTCCAGGCACAGCCGCTGGCCCGCCGCCTGCTGCCACAGCACCACGCCGTGCATCTGGCCCGACAGGCCGATGTGCCGCACCTGGGGACCACGACGACGACGGGGCCGGCGTTAGTCTGCCGTCTGATTCCGAACACTGCTTCGTCACTCTGTCTCTCTCGCACCCCTACGGACCGCCCCATGAGTGCGAGAGAGACAGAGCGACGAAAGCAGTGCTCGGAATCAGACGGCTGGCGTCTTCGAAACAGTGTCGGGAGGGTTGCCAACCTAGTTGCCCAAGAGGCAGGCTGAGGTTGGCAACCCTTCCGACACTGGGAATATTTACTAATGTGGCAGCACTGCTTCAACCAGCCCCGGAGTAGCGCCTGTGGTGGAGCGGGTAGGCAACTCTGCTCCGGGTGACTTGCGGGCACGGCGGGTCTGCCTACCCGCTGGTTCACAGGCGCTCCGGCCGGTGGTTGGCAGCGCTGCGGCCTCCAGGCCTCCACGCCTCACCTGTCTGAGCAGGTCCCTCGGCAGTCTGGAGATGCAGTTGTGCAGGGTGGACAGGATCTTGGGCACGTTCTGCTCATGGCCGTTCGGGGTGTTGGTCCGGATGTCCGCGGCCGTGTCCTTGGACTGGCGGGCGAGCACCGTGCCGCTGTCTCCCTCGCCCTCCAGCACGCCGCCCGCCGCCGAGACGGTCTTGCCCGCCACCACCAGGCATACCTGCAGCCAGACAGAGGTGGTGACACACCAGCAGAAGAGGCATGCAGTTTCACTTGTTGTTGTCACTCACCTTGACGGACGTTGTTCCGATGTCGATGCCCAGAACCAGGTTCTGGTCTCCCGGCATGATGCCGGGGGCCAACCGTCAGGAGGCGCTGGTGGCCACACTGCCAACAGAAACGCGGTGGAGGTGAAACAGAGAGCAACACCAAACACGCGCACACAGTGTGCCACACAGCGACCGCCACGCCGCCCGCAGCACGCCTCGAATCTACATCCAACCCTTGCTGTTGTTGTTCTTGCTGTTTCCTATTTACCTGGCCAAGTTTCCCCCGACTTTCCCTACAGGGCCGTGAGCTTCGCTTCGCAGGTGACTGTCATACTTTCGACGGGGCAACTTGGACCCGCCCCTTTCCCCCTCCGCCCACTCCACTCGGCCCTTTCCACGTACTTTGCCGCGTCCAGGGCGCGGAGCGTGAAGCACGAGGTGGGACGCGCATCAAACACACCTGACGCTCTCAAACTGAAACTTATACGAGCCAACAGGACGCGGGGCCGTAAGTTCAAATACCGGAAAAGTTAAGTTTTTTTTTTCTGGGTCGGGTCGGCTATTGAAATGTCCTCCACCCCCAAAATAGATATGTGAAAGGCGCGCATTCGTCGCTGTCTCTCTCGCACTCACGCAGCGCCTCGTTGGGGTGCGAGGGAGACAGGCTGCAGGTCGCGATGCACCGGCACACTGCACGCCGGCCCGCTCCGCATTCGTTTGTCTGAATGGCGGCTGATTGCGTGTGGGAGGGGAAAGTTTGGCGGCGCGCGCGGCCACGCGCCGCTCTGTCTCTCTCGCACCGCCGTGGGGCGCCCGCCATGAGAGCGAGAGAGACCGCGCGGGACGCAGCCCTGCGAGCGCGCCTCACCGGAACCGCCCCCGGGACGACGCCAACGCCACACCGGGCAACCGCGCAGCAGCCGCGGAATTTCCACGAAAAAGCCGTAAACATGCGGGGCCAGCCGAAGGAAGGCATAATGCTCTACGCGGCCGGTGGCTGCCTGTCGGCCCGCCCAGTGGGCACAGTGGGCCGGAAGACCGGCGCAGGCGGCCAAAACTCTAGACGCGTTTTGAGCTGCAGAGTCGCTAAACAGGCCTCGAACCGAACGTGTGACCCCACCAATGGCTTCCTCGTTCGGAGAGCAATCCATTGGTGGGGTCACACGTTCGGTTCGAGTCCCTAGCGGCTCTGGAGCTCACAACCCGTCCGGGACTTTGACCGCCTCCGCCGGGAGTGGATTCGGTGGAGTCAACGTAACACGGATGGATGAGGCGGCGAGATTGCTGCCCCGGGGACAGGCAGCGTCCTGAGGGGCAGACAGCGCGGGCAGCGTGTAACTCACCATCGCAAACTAGCCGCGCCGGCCGCGCTGGCCGCGGAAGTTGGACACATTGACGTTTTTAGCGAAATGAGAGTCCTCTGAAATAGAGCCGCCGGCCAGCAGGCGCGGACTCCGTCGCTCTCGCACTCACGGGGCGTCCCGTAGGGGTGCGAGAGAGAGACGGCAACAGAGCGGCCAACTACTGGTGTGGTGGCCCGGGGCCGAGCTGGCCCCACTAAATCTACCGCCGCCGATCGCAAACTCGCTGGGGCAGAGGTGAGTGACGGTGTGGTGGTGAGGGAAAGGGGTGAGGCGCCAGAGAAACGAATAGCCACGCGCTGCAACAGACTCTGCACTCTCGCAAACTTTCCGTCTGAAAAGGACAGCTCTGTCGGATGAGCCACGATGGAGTCCGTGAGGGGGAGCGGACGTCGACCGGGAGCAAGATTCACTACGCCACTGTCTCGCCAGCACGGACGGAACACGAGCACTAATTCGGAAACATTCGAGTGAAGGACGGCGCGACGCTTAATTGGCACGCCCTGTGATGGACGATTATTTTCCATGTGTGTGTCGTCTCTCTCTCTCTCTTGCGGGGGCGACGGCCGGGAGGACGACCACGACGCGGAAGGGGATGGGGAGGATGTAATAGAAGATAATTTGTCGTCGATAGTGCTGCGCAGTGCCGCGCCACACAGTGGGCCAGAAGACCGGTGGAGGCGGTCAACATCTCGGACGCGTTTTGAGCCCCATAGTCGCTAAATGGGACGTGCGACCCCCACCAATGGATTCCTCGTTCGGAGAGCAATCCATTGGTGGGGTCACACGTTCGGTCCGAGCCCTGTTTAGCGACTCTGGAGCTCAAAACGCGTCTCGAGTTTTGGCCGCCTGCGCCGGTCTTCCGACCCACTGTGCGCCACCCGGCCGGTTTATCGGGATCGACGGGAAGCATCGGGAACCGTCGGTTGCTGCGCTAGGAACCGGCCAGACGGCCAGACCTTTCCGCCAGTCTTTGTTTGGCGAGCTGTAATCCCGGCCGGCTGTCTCTCTCGCGCCGCCGCTCCGCCGCGTGGGTGCGAGGGCGACGGAGCGACTCGCAGTGGACCCACTCATCCGCGACCAAGTCCCGCCAGATCGGGGAGGCTTCCGGCTGCTCTCGGCTTCCCTCGGGACGGCCCCGCCGACGGGCTAAGTGGCAACGACACTGTGGAAGGAAAGAGTGCAGAAGGCCACTGTCTGACGGACAAGTTCGCAAAGCAGCTATACAAATAGCTCGCCGCGCGTGCTCGCAAAACTCGCAAATTCTTCCCAGTTCCGAACTAAGCCTGCGCGCCTCCTGTTTGAGAAATCGCGGGACTGATTCCGAGAGTCTCTGTCTCTCTCGCACCTCCGCGGGACGCCCCACGAGTGCGAGAGAGACAGAGCGACGGGGAGGCCGCTCGGCTCGCCCAGGCAGTGGCATTGCCAATGAGCTTCGAGGAGCGTCGGCGGCGCGGCCGTCAGCCCGCGCAGCGCGCACTGACAAGCGAGGTGACAAGCGAGATAACCGACACGGAAATCGCATCATGCAACCCACTCGGCTCGCCGGCCGGGGATGAATCTGGGATGAAGGTGTCATGCCGGGGGAGGGGACAGGCCTTGGGCTGGCGGCGCCGCAGTGCAGCCTCTGCAAATTTTACCAACCGGCTTTCCAGATCCAGCCTCGGCGTCCGAGTCACACCACTCGAGGCGGCCAAAACTCGAGACGCGTTTTGAGCTCCAGAGTCGCTAAATGGGACTCGAACCGAACGTGTGACCCCACCAATGGATTGCTCTCCGAACGAGGAATCCATTGGTGGGGTCACACGTTCGATTCGAGTCCCATTTAGCGACGCTGGAGCTCAAAAAGCGTCTAGGGTTTCGGCCGCCTCCGCCGGTCTTCCGGCCCACTGTGCGCACCGCCAGCGCACTGCAAGCACACTGCAAGCTTGAATGGCAGCCCCGCCGCGTATTTCGGACTAGCCCCATTAATCTGATTGGCTCAGCGCCGCTGAGCGGCTCGCCTACGTCCGCGGGGCAGCGAGACGGAGAGGCCGGAAAGAGGAAGGAGGACAGAAGAGGCCTCTCGAGTTGGCGGATAATGCCCTGTTAAACTTGCAGGCCGTCTTATGGCGGCCCCAATAAAAGGGACGGAGTCAACGCGAGCGCGGTGACCGTCGTCGCTCTCTCTCTCTCGCACCCGTACGCGACGCCCCGCGAGTGCGAGAGAGTCCGTCCGACAGGATTGTCTTGGCGGCGGCGTGGACGTGGAGGGGGACTCGACACGCCACAAAAAAACTCAGCCCTGCGTAGGAAAGAGGGATGGAAGGGCTGCGGTATAAACTAACCTTTGAGGACGCCACTCTGGGCGACGCGGCCGCGCCGGCCCGACCCGGTCCCCCATGCATTTCAGATAAGAAGGCCAAAAAGGTCGCCCCGCACCAAAAAAAAATGTCTTTGTTGTGGTCGAATTTAGACCACTATCGAACAGAAGTGATCACCACTACGAAGTCGTTTCTTTTGTTTTTGGGAGGAACAAGAACGCATGCCGCGGGTCAAGAAACGCGCGGGAAAAGGAGAGAAGATATTTCGACTTCGTTTCTTAATTAGCCGAGTCGGAGTGATTAGCTGGCACGGTACGGCAGGGGCGAAAGGAGAGAGAGAGAGAGAGAGAGAGAGAGAGAGAGAGAGAGAGAGAGAGAGAGAGAGATAGAACGGGGGCGGCAATGTCATCTTCCCGAGTTGGCGACTGTCTGTCTGCCTGTCTGTCTGTCTGTCTGTCTGTCGCGGGACGATGAAGTTGGATGAGGCAGGGGAGACTCGGACGCACAGACAATACTATTATCACGATTACGTGGTGGCTGCCGGCCAAAAGTTGACTACTGTGCTCCCCACTCCTCCCCCTCCTCTAGCAGTGGTGCGGCAGCAGCGCGGAGGACGCTAATCATATTCCTGCAAAAGCGATGGCCGCGATGGCAGTGCCGTGAACCTGGCAGTGCCGCGGAACACAAACACGCTGGCGTACAGTCGCGCAAACACGCAAACACGAACCTGTCCAGCGCAGGTATTAATCGAGTCCATCAACTCGCTGGCCAGAACGTCGCAGGAACGTCGGGGTCGGCCGGCGGAGCCAACTGACGTACATATCGAAAACGTCGATACTTCGCACGTCGTTTCGATTGTTTCGAGTTTTCAGAGGAGCCCCTCCCCTCCGGCAACGGGAGTCGAAGGGCGTATTTTTAGAGCGGCGCGCGCAAAGAAGCACGCCATGGAGAAGCGGCGGCATCAAACGCGGGAAAACAAATGAAAGGGGAGCGGGAAAATAAATAAATAGCGGCAATCACTGACGGCCAAAAAGTGCGCAATGGCGCGAGACTGAGTGTCAAGTTGTTTCATGTCGGAGCCTTTGTTTTGTTTCTTTCTGACGACGCGGTGTTTGAAGGGGTGGCAGACAGACAGACAGACGGGGAAGCAGACGGACAGACAGACAGACAGACCGACAGAGAAGGCGGCGACACAGAGACAAAGCACAGTCTCTGTGTTCCGCGAGGCTGCGCGATTCGAATGAGGCAGTTTGCAGCCACGCGAGGCTCGTCAGGTTCGTCGCTCGCACCGACCCAGACCCAGATTAGATTAAAACAGAGCCAGGCGACATTCAAGACTGACAGGCGGAGCGGAGCCCACCTCGAGGCGGCGGATCGAACGAACGTGCCCGCACGGTCAAATGGAGCCGGCAACAGTGTACTTGTTGTGCCTGTTGTTGAACGTGGATGTGGCAATCATGGCTTGGAGACCCCAGGGGGCGGCGGGCCGGCGAGCGCGGCGTGGTGACAGGCCGCCCGGCCCGGACTATTTTCAGACTCCAGTCTCGGCCAGGCCGGGCCCAATAAGACTCCGGGGAGTGGTTCCATACTGCCGCGCGCGCCAAGCGTCAAGCGGCAGGCGGGTCGGAAAATAGGTCCCAAGTAGACGAAGCCGACGTCGTCAAACATGAGGGACTAATAGCTCCATCAGAGGGGCCGGCTGCCTCTCTCGCACTCACGGGGCGTGCCGTATGTACGCGCGAGAGAGACAGAGCCAAGGCGGTGAACACAGGGGAGGCAAAGCAGAGCGCTCCGAAGAGTTAAGATACCGAAGGTTCGACGCTGCATGCGTGCGACAGAGACGGAGCGACGAAACAACTCCTCGGAACCAGCCTGCAGACAGGGTGGGGCAGACAGCCGAGCCATTCCCGAAGAGTCTCGTCCTCGCTCCGTCTCTCTCGCACGCATGCGGTGCGGCCCGCGAGTGCGACAGAGACAGAGCGACAAAGTTACTCTTCAGCACGGCAGACAGGGTTGGCAGACAGGGGCGGCAGACGGGGCAGGGCAGGTGGCCGGTACGTGCATATTGATTCCGTAAAGGCAG